GGTTTTCATGAGTGATACTCTCAGGTGTTACTGCGCCGCCGGTTGTGATGCCGTCGAATCCAACTAGAGTGGCGGTGGTTGGTGGAGGAGCGATGGGGACCTTCTTCGCTCAAGCGTTGTCTAAAAAATTGACACTCCTAGGGATCGAACTCGTGCGGAAAATGTGTCTGTAGGTTCCCGATATTGTGCTCATTACGAGTCCCCACTCACATGCAGCGGCGATGATGATGAACTCGGGTTTGGATTGTGTGGACAATGAGGGCAGGATGTTGCCAGCTCTGGAGGGAACACAACCGAACAGTGTGGGATTCCGAGTTGTTCATAATGTAAGTCCAGGGGCCCATGCAGCGTTGAGGGATAGGGTATGATAAAAATGGAAAGGAAATGTTACTAACGTGATGACATTTATATATATGGGAAATTGGAAAATTCAAAATGAGTTTCTTCCGGGAACATTATAGGTTCCAGGATGATCACTTCCGTATGAGTAGAGATTATGTATCACAGCAGGATTACTCAATTTCAGGCTGAAGATTGCCTAAGTGCATTCGGTGGTACTACACCGGAGCTTGTGGTGGTAGCCTCAAAGGCGTGACAGTTGGAAGATGCAGATGTCGTTAAGAAACACCTTTCTGGTTTGCTCAGTGATGGAGCGCCTGTGCTTAGTGTAAGGTTGCCTTTATTAGGCCGACTGAATGAAGTAGTTTTAGATCCAAAACGGCATTGGATCTGTTGATGCGTTATCGGTCGTGAGCAAAAATATCTTCCAGGTGAGTGACGTATCTTACCGTTTCAAAGTGAGAGGAAAAGATACTCATAATCGATCAATTCGCCCAGGAAGATATCGGATGGTCATTGAACTTCGGATATTTGGGTTTGTTGTTTTTCAGCTTTTATTTCTATACGTGTGTTTCAGGCGGTTATCAACATTGGTTGCAACCCACCCCGGCCTGGCGTGTTGGAGGTTAACGTCTTACCTGGCCTTTATGGTTTATGTTACTATCACTCCGGTTCGCAAAAGAAGTAGCATTTTCAAAATGCCAGACGAATGCCAGTTTGTCCTCAGCTCTGGTCGGTCTAACGAGCGTATCAGTGCCCGAGTTGCCGGACTGTAGTCATCACTCGTTATGGGAAACGTGGGAACTCGTGATGGAAGCCTCAGTACTGCGTGTAGTGCAAGACGAACGAAATAGTCTGCTGATTTCACAGGTAGGGCGCGCGAGATTTTATCGAATCCGTTCTTGATTCGATGAATTATCGGCAGATACCGGGAACTGATCCTGTGAGAGAGTTCTTTAGAGACCAGCTGAGAGCGTTTAGTGTTTGGTTGCGGAGAAAACACAATTCAGGTGAGAATACGCACATGGTCAACTACATGTGTTGGTGATGACGATATGAAAATTCTTATTGGTTTTTGCACACGAATTTGAGGAATGAGTGAAGCGAAGACTCCTCCAACACTGAGGTTCTGAGTTCCGAAATTAGTTTGCTGGAAAGTATAGGAGACAATGATGCGCATGGTCAACTACATGTGTTGGTGATGACAATATTAAAATTATTGTTGGGTTTTGTAATACACTTCTACCCGAGCTCGTATGTAAACTTTTGAACTGAGCTGATGAGAAAAGCGAAGATATATTCCTACTCCAACACTTCTGTCCGAATTAGCGAAGCAAACTTCTGAGCTCAGCTGAGGGAAGGACTTACTGATCATTAGTGAGTATTTCATCCCAGTGAGGAAACGACTAAACTGCGTGATAAAACGGTGGAGCACAAAACTGATATAAGTTATTTGCACGCATGCACATTCCATATTTTTATTAATTTTACCGGAACAATATCAACAAATCTACACTACTTATCGTCAATCAAATTATGACTGCAATTATCAGTCACAAGAATCGCGAGTAAAAGCGTTGCATAGTTCAGCATTATCATTAATTGGATTTGCACGCATGCGCAAATCCGCTCACGTACACCTGTGAATCTGTCTATGTTTCCACTTGTGATGGGGGGGGATATG